CAACGTGAGCTGGGAGAGCGGAGAGTCCGGTTCCGGTCTGGCGCCGCGCCGGGGACCGGGTGCCGTACCCACCGAGAGTGACGGGCTTACGAGAGCCTACAAATGTTGATAGATTATTGAACCTAAAACGAAAACCAGTTCTAGGACATTTGAAAATATTTTTTTACCTACGAAAACGCATCATTTTTTACATTTTAGCCTATTTTTGGGCGTTTTTTCTTTTCTATATTTTTTGCTCGAAGGACTGCGCTAGAGACAATTTCGACTATTGCAAACGAAAGAGCATGAAGAGACCTTTATTTTCATGCCTTTTAAACGGTCCTTCGACGGTTACGCGTCCACCGAAACGCTTGGATCTTTTCCAATGTAAAGAAAAACCCCTAAAATTCTCGTTTTCTGGGAAAGGGGCTACAAATGGACTGGTGGTGGGGGGTACGAGCAGCACCACACTATATACGACTCGCGGCAGAAATAATTACCAGAGAGCGTCGGGGTTGCGTTCCTGAGCGATGCACTCCCCTTCCTCTTTCTCTCTCCCCATCCCTCCCCGCTCTCTGACTCACACGGTCGTCTCTCTCACTCCGACGCGGCCTAAGGCAGAACAGGCAATGCACAGGCAGAGTACTGATTGAAATTAAACTGCCGTTTAATTTCTGCGGGCGAGTCCCGTCGCGTTTACGGGTAGGGCACGTTGCATATGTGGCATATGAGCCGCGTTCGGAACGCTGGGGTCATTTATTGTTGCGAACGACGTGTACTCGATTCTACCACAATGAGCCACAAACTTTAAAGTATGATCGCGATTTTCGCTCGCACCAAAAACGACGGGATGTTGTATTGACTGTTTTAGAAAGTAAAATACAATCACAAATCAGTACAAAAATAACTTTGAAAGTGCGCCGTCACGCACGCGCTAAATCACGACGCCACCGGAACTGACACTTAATGAAGCTTAAAGAAATACACGCGGCGCAACATTTTGATTTATCCGCCGACTGAATTGTAATGACTTGGCGGCGGCCAGCACCACGCCGCGCCACGCCGCGTCGCCCCGAGCAGGTAGTGTTCATACGGCCCCCATACAATGTCGTCCCTCACACGACCCGAGCCATTCGGAGCGGAGGTCTAAATCAGACGGCGCGGAATTCAAAACGAAATATGCTAATAGAAATGCACACCATACCGCCGCCGCCGCCGCGCTGCCCTTTCAAATAAGCAATCAACTTTTCGTTGCATCTCCCACTCCTCTTGCGCTCGCGTTACTCTTTACGCCACAGCTTAGGAGAATTTTTTGTAAGGTCGGCTATGCCTGGGCAGAGGTGGCGTTGACTGCGAATAACGCGTCGCCACAACAGGTTGCTGCCGATAAAGAAGTGAAGAGGACACAGGCCGCCGTCATCCTCGGGGGAGTCACCCGCTGACGGCCCCCCGCCGGGATGCCAGTTTTTACAAAAGCCCCCTCCCCCCCCACTCGACCGGTCCGCTATACGCCCGACCAAAGCGTTGTTTATTAGGCACACGGGTCGCTCCGGGGCGTGGCGCGGCGGAGCGGATCGCGGCGTGGCGCGGCGTGGTGGTGTTGTCACCCGGCCAGCACGAGAACCACTCCCACAGGCACATAGGACCCGCGACTGCCCCGCGCGCCACGTGAAAGGAAAAAAAATGTTTGTAAGACAACCCGAAAGTAGAGAGGGGAGAATTTGTCACCGTGCACTCATAGCGCGTGCTGTCAGGGAGCATCTACAAAACCGCATGGTGCTCCGAAAAGGAAGAAAAAATATGTTTTTGGTTGCCATGGCCGTTTATTTAAATCAAGAAGCAGGATTAACTATTAAGGTCCGTCGAAATGACACTTTTTTCGATATTGATATCGGCTCACCGTGGAAAATGTTCTA